GATAAAACTACTCAGAGGTGCTTGGTTCGAAGCGTTGGGTTTGCACAGAACTCAATGTGCTGCGTGAAATGTGATTGTGTGAATGTGGACAAGTGAGAAGTGAGTCAGAGATGGAGGCGTAATGAGGAGGACAGCAGGAGATTACTGAGACATGAAGGGGGGAGGGGGGCTGTGTCATGCTGAAGAAATGGGATTAGAAATATATATGTTACCAATGTATATGTATTTTCTTGCAAACATAAATGCAGCTTAAATCCCCATAGACCTCAGTGTTCACTAAAACGGCTCGTCCTAAGCTGACAGGGAACCTACAGTGTAAACAAAAGAAGATTTTGAGGAGATTTTAAGTCTCTCTTGTAATTATCCAGTGTTTTCCATGTTAAATCCATTGGTTTTCTATAAATTCACACTTTAGTGCAACAAACTTGTCCCTCTCTAGCAGGCTCTGTTCAGCTGCGCTCTGATTTGTCTCAACGCTCACATATCCCAATCTAGTCTTTGGTGTCTCTCTCTGGTCTCTCTCTCTCTGATGTCTCTCCCTGGTTTCTCTGGTCCCTCTCTGGTCTTTATCTGGTCTCTCTCTGCTCTCCCTCAGCTCTTCCTCTGCCTGGTCTCTCTCTCTCTGTTCTCTCTCTGGTCTCTCTTTGGTCTCTCTAAGATCTCTCTGGTCTTCCCGTAGCCCTCCGTTCTGCTCCTCAGCTCGATGTCCTCTGCAGCTATATTTTAGTGTATATGCACGGCTTTTGACAGCTGCAGCAGCGCTCAGACCTACAACGAACAGGTTTGATATATCTACGTGATCGCACTTCAGAAGTCGAGAGTTCAGGTGGGCCAAAAAATGTGTGTGAGGGGTTTTACAGCCTTAAAACATACAGCGTCTGCTTCAAGGATTTTGCTTCTTGTGGGTTATTTTTAGATTGTGACCCGGGGAACGTGAAGGTGCCAGATTGTTGAGAGCTTTATAAATGAGGATTTTAAAGCCAGCCTGAGTCAGAAGCCAATGTAGATTTTTTAATATTGCTTTAATGTATTTTCTTTTGTATTTTGGCAACACCTTTATAAACAACTTGTTCTTCAGTCTTTACACAATTGGCTTGAGAGGACTTGGCTGCAGTTATGATTTAGCACTTGTTTTCACACACACAGAGACACACACATAGAGAGAAAGACACGGACAGTGACACACACAGAGAGAGAGACACACACACACACACACAGAGAGAGAGACACACACACACACACACAGGCACACAGACAGACAGAGAGAGAGACACACACATACACAGAGAGAGAGAGACACACACAGGCACACACAGAGAGAGAGAGAGACACGTTCAGGCACACAGACAGACAGAGAGAGACACACACACACACAGAGAGACACACACACAGATGCACACACAGACACACAGATGCACACAGATGGAGACACACATAAAGAGAGAAACACACACACATAGATTCACACACATAGAGAGAGAGAGAGACACGCACACACACACACACATACACAGATACCTGCACACACACACACAGAGACACATACAAACACGCACACATACAACCACACAGGCACATTCACACACAAACACACACACATATATACATATATACATGCACACACACACACAGAGACACATACAAACACATACACCTACATACAACCACACAGGCACATGCACAAACACACACACACACACACACACACATACATGCACACACACAGAGAGACACTTAAAAACACATACACCTACATACAACCACACAGGCACATGGTACAAACACACACACAGACACACAGATACAAGCGCACACACACATATACACACACACACACACACACCCTCTCTCTCTCCCTCCAGCAGTTAGAGGCTGTAACGCATGTGCGCACTCCCCACAGCTCATTCCTCGCTCGTGTCTCTGCGAAGGAAGATGGTGAGTAAGAACTGCTATTGCTGTATTTGCTGCTAGTCTAGTTGTGTTGTTAGTCTAGTTGTGTTGTTTGTTGGTGTGAAGGGCTTTTTCTGGAGGCCTGGGCCTGGGCGATGTTATTATGGACGATACAGTATATGACATGTTTTACTCTTCACATTGACAAATAATTCATGCTTAGAATATGTCAAATTGTAAATCCTGATGGAGATGGTCATGAAGGCTGATCCCAGAGGTTCTCCTGTTCAATCCGGAGCTGGTTGATGTCATTAAAAAGATGAGAAAGAAGAATCCTTGTAGTTTGTTTTTGTGGCAGCTGGGAGTCTCTAATCTGCCAAAAAAAGGACTTGTTTTTAAAGCGTTTTGGAATTGTGTCAACTGATTCAGATGCAGATTCAGACTACTTTGTCTATCCTATCAGGGGCAAATCCTTTCAGCAGCATAGAGCATAAAACACAGTAAACGATAAGAAATAAAGCAGTTCCTTGCCGGGTCTAAGGGCCGTAATGATCAAGGACATCTTTTGGACATTATATTTGTTTGTTATTACATGGTTCTTCACTATAATGCCTTTTGCAATTTGTTGCATCATACACAACATACTTATACTGCTGAATTATTTTAAGAAGAATTGAAGAAAACTAGTGTTGCTTGTATTCTCCGCTGTCATTAGTTATCTCTCTCTCTCTCTCTCTCTCTCTCTCTCTCTCTCTCTCTCTCTCTCTCTCTCTCTAGTCTCTCTCCCGTCTCTCTCTCTCAGTGCTCAGATCAACAACCAACAGGTTTGACATCTCTGCGATCGCACTTCATCTCCTGAGTTCAGATGGTTAGAAAAGTGTATAAAGTGTGTGAGGGGTTTTACAGACTTAAAACAAACAGCTGCTCCTGACAGGATTGTGCTTATTGTACTGTGTTGCATTTCCTGTGTTATTGGTGAACAACTTTGTATTGAATTGATTTGAATGAAATGGAGTCAGATGAATACAACAACACAAGCTCAAGCACACACTGAGATCCATATTACTCTCTGGTCTCTATTTGGTCTCTCTATGGTCTCTCTCTGGTCTTTCTGGGGTCTCTCTCTCTCTCTAGTCACTCTCTCTGTTCTCTCTCTTGTCTTTCTGGGGTCTCTCTCTCTCTCTCTAGTCACTCTCTCTGTTCTCTCTCTGGTCTTACTCTCTCTAGTCTCTCTCTGGTCATTCTCTCTCTAGTCTCTCTCTGATCACTCTCTCTAGTCTCTCTGGTCTTTCTCTCGTATCTCTCTGGTCTCTCGTCTCTCTTGAATATCTGACACTTCCAAGTGTGTCTGTGCATCGCCTTATCAAAACAGCAATTGTCACTTTAGTTGTTGATTCCTCAATAACAGATCAAAAAATCATACATAGAAAATGCAATAATAGCTAACAGAAAGGAGTCACCTACTGTTCTATCCATCCCTCCTGAGCCTCCGCCCTTTTCAATAACTCTTTGTTTTGTAATGGTAAGCGGTTTCAATCCCGCTAAGGTGCTGCAAGAGAGAGATTTTAGTCAAGAAACAGCAACATTCATATCTGATTTGTTCTGTGTAATCAAATCAAACAGTCAACAGTTGAACAGGTTTGAGATGAGTCTGCGTTTCTCAGCGTGTGAACTCGGGTGTCGACTTTTTCACACACAAAAAGGGGACGTGTTCTACTTTTTTCTTCTTCTCTCCATGTTTCTAAATTGTTGCCTCATCCCTCAAAAACATAGAATTTGGACACAGCTATATCTGCTATTTATGTTTATGTGAACAGCAGAGAGACAGCAGGGTTTTCTTTTGATGTGATCAGAATCCGATTTTATTACTTTTATTTAGCTACTTATTATTTTGAGTTTGAGCAGCTGTAGGAAGCACCTTTATTGTCGCAACTGAATATGATAAATTCATTCATTGTCTTCATTTTCTTATTTACCGTTAGCTTTGACAATCTAACTGTCGTCTCTTGGCTTTGTTTCCATCAGCTGTTGGTTCAATGTTACATCTCAACCTGAAAACCTGCGGCTTATATGTGGACTCCAGATAATACTGTACATATATCTTGACTCTGGTTCACCCTAATTACCCTAAGACCTGTGCAGAGACCGACAACTGGACAGTAAAAGTGTTAGGGTTAGGGATAGAATTCAGGCTGTTTTTAGCTTTAAGATTTGCTATGATTGAGCTAATAGATAGATGGATGGATACTTTATTGATCTCCATAGGAATTATTCAGGTGTCCAGTAGCAGCAGAACAAACAAATGGATAATTCTAAAACTAGCTAACAATAGTATTAAAATGCAACAGCACTTTAGCTCACTGCAGCAGAGGTGGAGTAGCCGCTTGGTTCGGACCATATTCTCTGCTCTGGTCCAAAGTAAAATGCTGAATGCTTCATTAGCATTTTCAAAAAGTAAGCATTCCTCCAGTGGATTTTTGCCTGCTTGGTTCCTCCGGTCTGAACCAGGCAAAACCACAAACACTGCAACATCTCAGGCAGAAAAGCAAGACAAATAAAAATTGTAAAGCACAAAACAGTTAAGAGCTAATAGGACTTGCTGCCGTTTCCAGAGCATTCAAAAGTAATGTTCGCTGAATGACAATCTCAACAGCCATGTTAGCCAAGCCAAACCAATGTAAGTATATAGAAATAAAGTCAACGGCTGGCTTTTCTCTGGCCCCTCTTTCAGATGTCTCTCTGGTCTCTCTTCTATCTAGTCTCTCTCTCTGGTCTTGGTCTCTCTCTTGGGTCTCTCCGATCTCTGTCTCTCTTGTTTATTCATAAACAGATGTTCTTAATAGTCCAGCAAATACAGTACAAATATTGGTCTGGGAAACATACAGATTTGATCCTTATGACCCTTACCTGCTGTCCCAATGTCCCCACATGTCTCTTGTTCTCTCCCCTTCACTCTGTTATGGCTGGATGTTTTCCGTTTGAAGATGCTATCCCCCACAGATGGGCCAGGCTTGCTCCTCCCCTGCTCCTCCACACAGACAGGCGGCGCTGTGGCTCACTGGCTTTGGCACTGTTTTTATTTAACCCTGTTCTTTTCTCTGTGGCACCAGGCGCGGCTCCCCTCCTGTTCATCCACCCTAAGCATTGCAGAGGTACTCCTGCTGCATGCGTGTTTGTGCGTGCGTGTGTGTGTGTGTGTGTGTACTGCTACCACCCCCAAACACACCGCACCCCTCCGGACTGGCCTGGCTTCCTGTTACCTTTTGTGCAATGTTGGCAAACAGGATTATAGCTTTCAAATGTGTAAAAGTCGTGTTTTGAATCTAAACTAACTGAAACATGTTGAAAAGTTGGTGTACTAAGGCAAGTTTATTTGTACAGCGCAATTCATACACAGTGCAACTCAAAATCATAGACTGTATATTATATTATTAGTGTGACATCACCCTCGTTAGCCCTAATTTGGAAGATGCCGTTATAAACATAAGCTAGCTGAAGCCAGTTTTCTTATATGGGCATTTCATCTGCTGCTTCTCAACGTAACAGGGCACACGGGTTTTTAAGGCGGTTGCTAAGGCAAGCTGTGGATGAAAGGATCTAATTGGTCAATCCTTATAGGGCTCATACCTGGATATACAAAGACAATATCACAATATCAACACCAGGATCTGTCATTAGCCCCGTTTTCACTATCCCTACTCTACTTTACCTGGTTGTGTTTCCATTATGCTTTAGTATCGTATATCCTATCTGAGCGTCCTACCGACAACAAACCAGTATTCAGGGAAATTCCTTGGTAACCATGGCTTCTAGCTCTGGCCTTCACTCTCAGGGCCAAGAAGGACCTGATCCCGGTTAAACAGAGCCAGTGGAAGCGCTAAGAGTATTTTTTTGTGTTTTTCCTTCTTGTATCTAGATGTAGATATCTGTTGGGCCATAATCTTGTGCAAAACATCTGTCTGGGCTTAATGATTGTTTAGTTTTGTATTCACTTAAATGGAAAAAATGTGTTATGTATTAGTCTAACGCCACCTCCAAACCAAATGTTCCTGTTTACCAAAGCACGTTGACTCCTGTCTTGTGATGTCAAGCGTCTCTGTCCTATTCTGTCTTCTTTTTCCTTCTCATCCTTCCCGAACCCCGCCTCTCTTCCTGCAGGATGCATTTCAACATCAGAACTGAAGTTGAAAGCCGCTCTTGTTTTTGCTAATCTACTCTACCATGATTCGAAGCGTTTACCCTGGCCCCGTTTAGACGGTGCCAGGTCCTTCTTTAGTCCCTCTTGGCTATCCTGGCTGAGCTGGTACTGAAGTGTTCAAAAGTGTTCTAACTGGCAGTGATTGGCCAGAGGGCTACTGGAAGCCATTGTTTCCAAGGAATTTCCACGGATCTTGTTGCTAGTATACGGTTCCAAATACTTCAACAAAATGGAAACGCAACAGAGTAGCATAGAGCAGAGTAGAGCCGGTGGAAAGGGCTCCATTGTCATCTGGTAGATGTTGTATTGACGCATGTTGTGCGCAAGAGGTCTGTCCGATTGGAACTAAAACAAACTTTCCAGTCAAGTAAAATGTTAGACGCAACAGTCTTAATAGAAAATGTTTTCTTCTGTGAGAAAGAGCCCTCTGAGTCACTATTTGACTCTTTAGGCCATGAGTTGAGGGCCTAAAGAGTCAAATAGTGCTTACTTACTTACTTCAGGCCATGAGTTGAAGCTGGTTGCAGAAAGAGACGGCTGGTTGATTGGCTGCAGCCAGTTTGGGTGGTTCTCCCTTTTTGACTTTTTTGTCTGAAAAAGCTGATTTTAAGATGTGACTGAGGCCAAAAACACATGTATGTGAGAACTCGTGATAGAAGCAAACTGACAGCGAGGAGCTACATTACTTCTCTAAGTCGCTACTTTTTATTATGTATATTTACATCTTCTCAGCAAGAAGCTCCTGGGTACAAATACAGGTCAAAACAAGGCCTTTCTGCGTGGAGTTTGCAGGTGTTTTATCCAGCCATCCTGAGCCTCAGGGTGCTTTGGTTGCACCTACCACTAAAAACCTCTACAATGAGTAAAATCCTCCAGCTCTGGTCCTAACCAAGAGCATCCACATCTGGAGCTGGTCCCCTGTTACTATGACAACCACTGCTCCTCTCAAAGGGCCAAAAAGCAATGAAGGACGGGTAAAATGCAGTGGACACATTTCCCACATGCACAATAGCGTAGAAGTTACAGTAACTTACTTATTTTGGTAAAGCGCCCCCTGGAACAACAGATTGGCCTACATAGCACACATTCCTGCTACAGTGTGTTTATGTGAACGGTAGAGGTACATGAGAACGTGCAGGGAGAAAGAAGTTTATGGACTTATTATTTTGAATTAAGCTTCAGAAGTATGAGACACCCGTTTATTGTCAGAACCAACTGGATTTATCAGAGCGCTTTGATCATTACGAGTCAGCAGTGTGTTAAAACGCCTCTTCATTAAATTAAGTTGTAATGTATAATCCCCTTAGGGAAATGTGTCCTTCAAGAGGAGAAAAGCACTTCAAATAACAGTAGTACACACACAACAGTTTTTATTTTGAATCCTCTTCTGCCTCTTTATGTGACATCACTGTAGCTGGTGTCTTGTGGTGTGTATGTGACATCACTGTAGCTGGTGTCTTTTGGTCTGTGTATGTCTGCTCTGCTGCTGTTACTGTGTAGTGACTGTGATGTGGTTCCTCAGGCCTCACGGAGAGAATTCAGGGCGCACCTGGATGAGGTCATCACGCTCAAGTCCAGGTACTCCACCCTGGACCAGGTAAAACTCAGCCGATCCCCATCATGCACTTTGTCCTCCCGGCATGGCGTTTCACAGCATACGATTTATTTAGCTACACCAATTGTATAGAGAGAAATAACAGCTTTGCATGAAAACATACTGCTTCTCGTGATGGTGGTGTAAGATCAGTGTATTACAGCCGTAAACTGCTTTTCACATGGGATTGGATGTGTTTTAGTGATAGTAAAGGAGAAATATCCTGGAAATCCACTTGTTTCAGCCTTTTTCCATGTGCCCTTTTTAGATCGTTTTTAGACTTCTGATGCAAATATTTACAGTAGCTCTGCCTCTTCTGTCTAAAAGCTTCTGTAATGGTGTGATGTCAATGTACCACTGGAAGCAGTTTACAGACTTAAATCAAACGTAGAGAGTGGCTGAGTGGATAGCACTCTCGCTTCTAAGTGAAAAGGTCCCGGGAAATTAGCCCAAGGTGTTCATTAACATGCACTGTCCCAACCAAATAAACAATACACTTAACATAGAGAGAAAAAAGAGAGGGACTCGATGGAAGGCACGGTTACCAAGGAATTTCCCTGGGTACTGGTACCAGATTATGTGTAATAAAAATGGTTACCAAGCAAATTCCATGGATCTTGTTGCTAGTATACGGTACCAGATACTACTACTGGAAACGCAATTGATCCGAGTAGAGTAGAACCTGTGGAAAAGTAGATGTGGTAGATGTCTGTCCGATTTAAAACAATGGAAAAACAAACGTTTGAGTCACGAAGTAAAGTTTTGTGAACAAATCAGACACAACACGAAACACAACCAGGCCAACAAGGCCAAGAAAGGCTGGTAAGTTAATGTTGATTTTTTGGATATTTCGGATTTCACAAAATAGTACTTTTCCATCCCGAGATAGACCTTTTAGAAATTATTTCGATTTTGATACAGATTCCAAACAGTGAGCCAATACAACAACACAAATTCTGTGCTATTGTATGAAGCCATCCAGACCATGTGAAAGCAGCTTTTGAAAAGACAATAGGAGACAACACACTTCCCTGTGGGACACCTATCTTGACTGAGGTTTTAACATTTGTCAGACAGCGCTCTCAAAACATCATAAAATCAGTGTTTTTCTTTTGCTTTCATCCGTCTCTCATCTCTCAACCATCCATTCATTCCATACTTACTGACCATTTACAATAAAATCTATCACTAGCAGAAATAGCAAGCAAATTCGCTCATTTTGGATACTGAAACTGAAATAAACATGAAACTGCTGTCTTTATAACCAAGTCATTCTTATCAAAGTGTTTTATATAAAAAATCAAACAAATAAAATCAAAATCTTTCTAATCTACCATTATTTTGGACCAACCACATAATATTGCATCATTTTCAAAGCCACACCAGTCAACATCTCAAGGCACACTGATAGACCACGGCCCACTGGTTGAAAAACACTGGCCCTCGATCTCAACATGCGAAAAAGAAAATCCAGAGATAGACAAGAAAGATAGAGCAGACAGAAAAAAGAGAGACCAGAGAGAGATACGTCAGAGGGAGACCAGCGAGACAGACCAGAGACAGACCAGAGACAGACCAGAGAGAGACCAGAGAGAGACAGACAGTATAGAGTATTCAGAGAGAGACTAGAGAGAAAGAGCAGAGAGAGACAAGAAAGAGAAACAAGAGAGAGAGACAAGAATGAGACCAAAAATGTGTTCCGCTCTGGTGAAGTATCCCATCACAGAGCTGCTGTTGCATTCCGCCGCCGTATATACTAACTACGTTCTCTTTTTGGACGTCATCTATTCGACAGCTCCGTGCGTTTGCTGCTGAGCTCATCGTTTCCGCCGCCGTCTCTTTAACAGTCCTATTATCGGCCCATTGATTTTTCCTGCCCCCCTGACTTGGCCCCTCCACGGATCCGCCGCAGATCTGGCAACGCGCTCTCTCTTCCTCGCTACTTCATCTCGGATCTCTCTGGCACCCGGTTCAACAGCAGTGACAGGCGAGGAGAGCGATCAGTGTGCAAGGACCACGTTCAGGAATTCATCAAGATGTCGTCACGTTTCTATTAGCAAGTTCAAGCGGCTGTCTGCGCCACAATTGCCTACGTGTCGAGGAGAATGTGGCCGTGTGACAAATCACTTAACGATCTTGTATTGAGGATCCGTAAAGGCGACATCTTTCTCCATTTTCAACATGGCTTCCTTATTGAAAACAGTCCTGGAGGTTAAATGATGTAGTTCTTCTATACCATAAGAGAGGAGCCAGTTGTTTTGGTTCTTTAATGTCTGGAATAGAAGAACCAAATGACTTAATCTACTAAAAAGACAAAATTAACCTTCATAAACTATTACAAAATGAAGGCGGCTATAAACCTTTGGCAATGTACTGTATATCTATAGAATCACTGCATACATTTCAATGCATTTTTCATTCCATTATTGTCTCTCTACTGTACATCCATCTTCTTTACCTGCAGCAGGAGACGAGACAAGAGTGTGTTGGTAGTTCTTTTATTTATTTTTTGGTTCTTTTGAAAGACAAGTTAGATGTTGTTCCCTATTCAGAACTGACATGTCATTTATCAGCTGATATTGTTTATACAAACTCTGGATCTGAAAGTAACAGAGCAGGACAACGGGATCAACTGGGACGAGGGAGCCTTCCTCCTGATGCACACATGGGACACTCTCATCCAGAGAGCACCGTACGAGAGGGGGCGTGGTCAGTCTGAATGACCTATCAATCAGGCTGACCACGCTTACTCACAAAGTAACAACAGCTGACCACGCCCACTCACAAAGTAACAACAGCTGACCACGCCCACTCACAAAGTAACAACACTCTTACCACACTCATTCAGGAAGTAACAACAGCTTACCACACTCATTCAAGAAGTAACAACCACTGATCACGCCTACTCAGGATTAGCTGATAAATAACACGTCACCAAGGCGGGGTACAGTTCTCAAGATGCTCACAGCTCTGCACTCGAAACATGTGGAAACACATCTAAAGCCCTGTTTCCACCAGCCCTGCTTGGTCCTACTCTACTCCTGTCTAGCTGGTTGCGTATCCAACGTACTTTACTATTTAAAGTGTCTGCTACCGTATCCTAGCATCTGAGAAAAATTCTTGGTAACCATGGTGCACTCTGCTCGGCCTGAATAGAAGTAGAGTAGTGCAGAGCAGAGCAACTCGCGGCCGAACAAGGCTAAACTTGTCTTTTAAAAGAACCACAAAAGAACCTTTTAAAGAGTGTGTCGGACTGCTCTCCTCATTCCAATTACGATTTTGAGTTTGTTTTGCCACAATAGTTTCTCAGATCAATACCCGATTGCCACAATGTTGCTCGTATTATAACATTTGTGTTGGTTTTTTCTTGAACAAAGATGTGTTGTGGTCCGAGTCGTTGAGTCAGATTTCAATGTGCTTTTTGTGTGTTTACTTTGTGTTTCGCTGTAGCTGTTAGAGCTCTTTTTTGCGTCTTTCTTTACCATTTTTTGTTCTTGTCTTGTAATTTTTTTATTGAGCCTTTTCTTCACAATTCAAACAGATTGTTACATTAATAGACGTCCCCCAGACCATTTCTGAAATTATTTTTAATTATTGCTATTAACTTGCAGCATTGATGTTAGGTTTATTTGTATATACTGTACATGTATCTCTAAATCACATCAGGATCAGATCAGAAAACCAAACGGTTTAGGCAAGGCAAGGTAAGTTTAATTGTATAGCACAATTCATACACAAGGCAATTCAAAGTGCTGAACAAAACAAGAAAGCATTAAAATCATAAATAATCACAGTACATTAAAAAGAAAGATAAAAATATAAAATCCCTCAGTTGTATGAACAGCTAAACAGAACTGTTTAAACACAAAACATGTATTATATTTTATGATAACAAACACGTAGGAGCCATTTGTCCGGGATAACCACTGTCCAGACCTGTTAATACATGTCCATAAATATCATCATCACTGTTCTTAGAACCTTTTGCATCAGTGAGGAGCCACTCAGAAACCCAGTCTGAACAAGTGAGAAACTTCAGGGAGACCCTTTTATGAGAGACAGACAGGCTGTGGAACCAGGACTGACTTTAAAGCTTTCCTCAACCATTTGGTGGATCACAATATCTACCTTTTTGGAGCATCTCACTTGGTTTAGGCACATTTACCATCAAATTATAAATCAACCATTTAGCAAAGGCCTATTTATTTTATTTTTTTACCAAAATAAAACTTAAAAACTATTTGTGTTGTGAGTGCTCCTACATGATAGAAAATATGAAGTAAAAAATGTTTACAATGCTTTCTTCAAGGAGGATTAAAGGGTTAAAGCTATTTAGCTACAACCATATAATGTATTATATATTATGAACATTAAAGCCAACACATAATTATTAACTGTAAAAATATAAATCATTATCTTCCAGAGATAGAAGAGACCAGATAGAGAGACCAGAAAGCGGGACCAGAGAGAGAAACTAGAGAGACACCAGAGAGAGTAGTTTTCTGCCTTTTTAAAAGTGACTTATTGCCCATAAATTAATGTTGATAATTTCTCAGGTCGGGCGACAGTAGCTCAGTTGGTAGAGCATTGGCCTTCAGGCCAGAAGGTTGTGGGTTCAATTCCCACAACCGACTCCCACTGATGACTGCTGTCGTTGTGTCCTTGGGCAAGACACTTAACCCCACTTTGCCCAAAGCCCCCACTGAAAGATCAAGGCTATGCTCACACTCAGAGAGCAGCCGTCCTCCTGTGGACTCACCACCTGCAGAGGGTCAGTGAGGGGCTGGTGCTATGAGACTTGGGTGGCATCTCTGACTGCCACCCCCCTGACCCAGAAATGGATTAAAGGGAAGAAAATGGATGAAATTTCTCAGGTGAAATAACATTCTTTACAATCACATAACTGTGGTGTCCCAGTAATTTTTTATTTCGGGGGAAAAAACTAAACAAATTCTACACCTCCCTCCGGAGGTATTATAGGCAGTTACAGACAGGAGAGATAG